TATTTCCACTTTCATGTCTTGAATGTTTTATTCATTTTCTTCCACTGTTTGTTTGGTTTTGTAGATTTCTTTAAGGCCTTCGTTCATTTCTCCTTTAGGGACCTTATCATGTTCGTCAGGACTGTGGATGTTTTTATGAATGTTAAGTGTTTTTACTTGTGCTTCAGCTATGTTGCCTGACTCAGGGCCTGCTGTGAGGGGAAGGCTCTGTGGTAGTGGGGATACCCTGTCCTGGCTGTTACTGGTTGTGTTTTTACACTGGAGTCCAGGCATCACAGTTTGGGGAGATTGTAATTTAGGTGTTGATATCTGGTATTGTATTTGTTGTGTGGGTGTGTTGTTCCTTGGTTTTTCTTACCTTCTCTGGTTCTTAGCAGAGTATGGTTTTTATGTTTTCCCTGGTATAACATGCTTCGGGATCTTGTTAAGTGTAGCCACTGTGGGTTCAGGTAGAAAATGTTTCTAAGTGGTGTAAATTTGGCGCCCCTGCCAACCTGTGGTGGCTGTGGCAGCTGAGGTGGCAGCAGTGGTGGCTGTGGTAGCTGAGGTGGCAGCAGTGGTGGCTGTGGCAGCTGAGGTGGCAGCCGCTTGAGCAGTCACGCTCACCGCCAGGTGTGGCACATTTCCACTCTCATGTTCCTATGGGTTGTATAAGAGTTGCATATCGAAACATGCCCCCTAAAAGTCCCCGGCCACTCCAGAGCATTCTCTCCATCTCGTTCCTTCTCTCTGCCTCCTGGTCTGTCTGTCTGTCTCTGTCCTGTCCCAATTGTGAGATAGCACTTTGCTCTGCCCCATCCCTCAATAAACCTCTTGCTTTAGTTCTGTTTTGAGGTGTGATTTCGTCGGGACTCACCTGGGCCTGCCAACAAAGGTACCCTTTTCCGTAGCTTGATCGTTACCCTAAGTATTGAGAGTTGAAACTTAAGAATGGAGATGAACTTCACTATGAATGAAGGGAGGTGGCTGAGGGAATCCACTGGAGGGAGCAAAGCAGTGCGCTCCACTAGGATCTGCTCAGTTTCTTCGGAAATTGTGGGATAGTGAGGACAGGACACAGCAGAAATTCTGCTGCGGAGCTGGGCATGAGAATTGGGGATGGACTTGGAGGAATGGAGGCAGAGGTGAAGATCTGCACTTAGCCTACCTGCTTCACTGGGCAAAGTAGCCTGCAGGGAGTGCCTATTCGTGTAGGGCCTGAGATAAAGTAATGAGTGGGCCAAAAGAAGTTTGAAGGGGTGTATCTGTGTGGTCCACTGCAGAAGAGGAAGGGGAAGCCACAGAAGGTGGTTTGCTGCAGGTCTGGGCATGAGAATTGGAGATTTGATGTGGGTGGGTGGATGGAGAGGTGTTGCTCGGCAATTAGCCAATCTGCTTCCTTTGCTGAATTGGCCATGTGATTAGAATGTGCAGATCAAACTGAAGGTAGTATCATTTTGGAAATGGCAGGTGGGAGGTACTGAATGGCTTTGGATTCTCAGAAGACCACCTCCCTCAAGTGTGCCAGCAGTAAGGGTTTGCACCAGAACTTTCCTAAAGTGTTTTAGGCAGAGTGTGAACAGTTCATCATTCACAGACCTTATTACTTATAAACTGTTCAGTGAGAATCGTGGATAGTCATAGGCTCCTAGGCATGCTGCCTCTTTAGGCTTTGTGGTAAAGGAGAGCAATGTCAAGTCCAGGCTTGGGTGAGTGTGTGTACTGAGGGCAGCAGGCTACTTTGTGAGACACCTAGACACTTGAGAAGCATGGAATGGTGAGTGTGTCTTGGATTCCTGGATGCCTGGGTGGCGGCACTGGGACATTAGTTGTTTTGGAGATAAACAGCCCCCACCTGAAAGTTCCCCTAGGGCTATAGGGCCCAGTGGAAGGTGGAGTCTGGAACAGCAAGTGCACTCCCAGGTGCACCTGAAGTGCATGCCCAGCAGGCAGCTTTTACCCACAATCTCCCACTCTTCCCTCCTGGTGAGCCTGGTTCACCAAGATCCCCAGCACTCTCCCATGAGTCCTTGCCATGAACTGTGCTACACAGATCTTTGCAGCACTGGCGGGTTGGTGATGCTGCGTCCACACTGTGCTGGATGCGGACGTGGGTGGTCTGTGCAGTTTCCCTTCTCGGCTTGTGCTTGTGTTTGTCCTGATTCAGATTGTTTCCTCTCATCACCTATGATTTCCTTCCTGTCTTCCCTTCCCCTTCCCCATCTGGTCGGCCTCTGAATTGAGCCATATGCCTCCTGGTGTTAGAGAAGTTTTCACAGAGCAGCAGTGTCTACCCTTAACACCTCATCCAATTTTCTTTTTCTTTTCTTTCTTTCTTTCTTCCTTTCTTTTTTTTTTTGTTGTTGTTTTTTGAGACAGGGTTTCTCTGTGTAGCTTTGCGCCTTTCCTGGAACTCACTTTGGAGACCAGGCTGGCCTCGAACTCACAGAGATCCGCCTGGTTCTGCCTCCCGAGTGCTGGGATTAAAGGCGTGCGCCACCACTGCCCGGCTTTTTTTTTTTTTTTTTTTTTTTTTTTTTTTTTTTCCCCCAGAGCTGAGGACCGAACCTAGGGCCTTGGGCTTGCTAGGCAAGTGCTCTACCACTGAGCTAAATCCCCAATCCCCTTTTCTTTCTTTTTTTTTAAGGGATAATGGACAACAATGTTTTCTTTATCTCCTGCATGCAGTTGGTTAAAGGTACCAGTCTGAAGACAGAAATTCAAATTTGCTTCACAATTTATTTGTTTGCAGTGATCTTTTTCAAGGCCCAAATTGGAGTTCTAGAAAGTATTTGTAACTTTGGTGAATGTGCAGAAGGCCAGCACGGCTGACAAAGAACTTCATGGTGTTGGCATTATATTTTTGTTGCTGTTGCTTGTTTTGCTTTAGCAACAAAACAGAAGGAATTGGGAGTGTAAATTTTGTAACCAGAAATTTCCAGGATTGCAGTCTTTGGAAAAAAAAATACTCACTTTCTTTACCCTTCAAGTAGTGGATAATATCAGGCTTGGCTTTCTTCTGAGATATCTTAATTTTGTAAAGTATCGATTTCCACAGGAGATGTCTGTTTTTCACAATTCTACACATGTCACATTGTCGCTCTGAGCATGACTGTTTCCATGTATTGCTAATTCTACCAGGTCAAAAATAAGACACCACTACAAATTCTGAGCCAAATTTGAAGCAAGCTTTAATTAAATACTGCCCAGGTGGATGGACTCTGGCCCAGTCCATTCCCAGGTTCCCAGAAAATGGCAAGAAGTCACATTTTACAGAGGCTCATCAAGGCAAACCCATAAGGCCACATATTTCCCACCAGTTTCAATCAGGGACATATATATTTCCTGAAATACTTCCTGCCTACTTACCTCCTGCCTACATGTGCATATCCAGTATAGTTGAGTCAAAGGAACTTGTTTAGGGGAGCAAAATCGTGGCTTGTTTACTTGCATAAACAGTAGTCACAAGCATTTCAGGAAGTGTGTGTCCTTAGACAAGGGGCTTTCAGGTTAGAGGGATTTTTGTTTTATGGATCTTTTAGGCCCGGTAATTAAAATGTAAAACATAGCTTCATCTCTCACAGGATCTTGGTCAGGGAAATGTTGGCTTTCATATCCCAGTGAAGAAGACGGATGTCTTAATCTCTTTGCTGCTGCTGTCATAGAGTATGACATGCTGGATAACATGTCCAGCCAACAAGCCAAGTGTTGCTAAAATTTCTTCCTCAGGGGAGATGTAAAGCAATTCTTCCCAAGACCCAAACAGCAAACTGAGGCAGGATTCTGCCACAGCTCATCCTAGGGAACCCATGGGTTGATTGGGTTCCTTAAAGTGCATATGATAAAGATTATTTATAGGAGTTTGGCCATTCCTCCCTCAGCCAGCTGATCCTGGAAAGCCTCACTCAGCAGGGATGAGTTTCCCAGTAGCTGCAGAAAGAGTGCCCCACCCCAGTCCTTGTCCCCTTCATTCTCCCCTGCCCCCATATATCTTATCCCCTTTCCAGAGCTCACTGCCTGGATCCTCGGATGAGAGTCTTGTGCCTTCCTCCATCCCTCCATGTGGGATTGTAAATGGTCAGCAAGCCCAGCTGTGATCATCTTATGCAAGTGGGCACTTAGGAATTCTCCAAGATGGAGGTTGCTTATCTGGGAAGACATTCTGTCACATCATGACTAAGATTAGTCAAAATGGTCTCTCATATGAAGAGCATCTGTGATGGTCATGTTTCGAGACCTAATTTGATAGACTTGAAGAAAGTATTGGTGAATTTTACTGTTTATTTTTGTTAAAATCTTAATGTGAATAAGGGATGGAGAGATGGATCAGCAGTTAAGAGCACAGACTTCTCTTCCAGAGTACAGAATTTGATTCCCAGCATGCACATGGTGAGCCACAACAGTCTAGGACTCCACTTTCAGGGAATGCAATGCCTCCTGGCTTCCTATGGCACCAAGCACATATGAGGTGCATTGATGTACATGCAAAAAAAAAAAAATCCATACACATGAAGTGAAATAAATTAATATTAATGTGCAATTACTGTTGGGAATATCATAAAAGCAAAAGCGGGCATGGTGAAGTCTCAGGGTTAATCGTTTAGTGTCTCTGCATCTTCACTAGAGAATGACCATTGTGGGCTCTTCGTTAGCCGACTGTGAGATCCTGAGATTTGGGAATGTTTACTTTAGTGGATGGAGGGTTTCCTCATGGCCTTATGCAAAGAAAACCTTTTCTGAAATTCAGGGACTGCTTTTCATAACTGTGAGCCCTAAGTGGAGTACTCCTGCTGTGTATGTCTATTTTATCTATCCATTGAGTAATTGTATTCCCTTGTTTTTGTGTTTTAAGTATATTGGCAGGAAATGGATACATTGAAACATGAAGTGGGAGAATGTCATGGGCTTTTAACTCATTCCTAATGTTTCAGGTTTCCTATCAAGCCCCGTGTGCTTCCTGTGCTTGAATCTACTTGGAGCCTGCTCCTACCCTGAGTGCTGTTTTATTTTGTTTTGCTTAGCAAAGAATATTCTCCTGAGCACCTGTTTGGGTGACTGTGTGTTCTGCTGACTGCAGGAGTCTTCAGGAGGACATCTAGACACATCAGATGCACAAAATGGTGAGTATGCCTTGGGCTCCTGGAATCCTGGGTGGCAGGTGAATGAAAAATAAAAGAGGACATGACTACACCCATGTGTGGTGGAGGAGAAGGTTCATTGTAAATATGAGAGAGAGACAGCCCAGCCAGGGGCCTCTGGAGTGGTCCGCAATGACCTGGGCCATGTTAGAAGAGAAAGGGTAGGGAGAGCAAGAGACAAAGAGAAGAGAAGGAGGAGAGAAGGGGACCAAGTGGCCAAGAGGCAAAAAGTCTGGGCCTTATAGACTCAGAGAAGCTGGGGGAAGAAAAACGCAGCCCCATCACTGGGTTGGGGAGTTTAGAATAGGGGCGGGGTATGCCGGTCAGGTGGAGTCTGTAACAGGTGGCCTGGCAGCCAGCTTTCTCTTTAATATGTTAATGGACTCCTCAGCCATTTGTCCAGGGTGTGAGACCTAACATGGCATTTGAGACACTGGCTGCTTTGGAGGTATGTGGTGACAATGGCTGGATTTTTCCCTGGTGCTGTGCAGTCCAGTGGAGCTGGAGTCTGTCACAATAGTGCCTATGCCCAAGTTCACTTGAAGTGTGCACTCTGCAGGCAGACTTGAGCCATGTGTCCCCACTCTTCTGTCCTGGTGAAGCTGCTTCTTTTCGACCCCCCAAACTCTTGTGTGAGTCTTAGCTGTGAACTTGTCCCAACACAGACCTTGCTGTGCTGTGGGATGGTGCTTTGTAATCGACTTGAGAGTACCCTACATTTATTATATATTTATAACACTTGTGTGTATAGTTTCTTTGGTTTCTACTTTACTGCAATTTTATATTTAATATATAATATGTTATCATTTCTTTGTTTTTTTTTTTGTTTTTTTTTTTGTTTTGTTGTTGTTTTTTAGTTTTGGTGACAAGGTTTCCCTGTGTAACCTTGGAATTCCCAGTCTTTCCCAGGCTAACCATGCCCTCAGAGATCACCCTCCTCTGCCTTATGCATTCTTTTTTTTTTAGACAGGGACACTTGTGTACCTGCCTGGAAATCACTTTATAACTAAGGCTGATCCTGAACCTTGCTGAACCTTGATTCTCCAAACTCCTCCTCTCTTCCCTTTCCCATGCTTGTTGTGTCTTTTTTTTTTTAAAGATTTATTTATTTATTATGTATACAGTGTTCTGTCTGCATATACACCTGCAGGTCAGAAGAGGGCACCTGATCTCTTTTTTACGGATGGTTGTGAGCCACCATGTGGTTGCTGGGAATTGAACTCAGGACCTCTGGAAGAACAGCCAGCGCCCTTAACCTCTGAGCCATCTCTCCAGCCCCGTTTTGTCCTTCAGTCCTACTGTATCTACCACTCCACTTGCACATCACATGCCTGCTACTGTGCCTGTACCCCTCCCACCTCCCCACAGATCTCGTGGAACCATCCTTCTCCATGCTCTCTGTGGACACTCAGTCAAGCTGTGAAACAGATAGCTAAGAGGCTAAAGATCGAATCCATAGACAGGAGAAAGAGACAGCATTTGACGTGTGCTTGGGTTACCTGGCTAGGTAAGTCAGGAGCCAAGGAATACCACAAAGTCACCCCTCACAACAAACTACACAACAGATTTATTGCAAGGCAAGACCCAGTAGGGTGGCTGCCTCTGCTTGGGTGAGAAGCAGTAGAGAACTGAGTAAAAGGCAGGGTTTAAATAGGATTTCTCAGGTGCCGATTTTCCAGAGTGGAGATTTCCAGGGTGGGAATTGGTGGGTTTTCAAGTCCAGATCTTGGGCTTTTTACTCTGTAGAGCAGAGCTTGGCTGCCTGTGTGTGGCAGGGCTGGGTCTGGTCTTTAGGGTAGTTAGATTGTTCTGTGGGCAGAGCCTGGGCTTTGGAGGTTCTGGGGGTGGGACATGGCCACTCACATGCCTCAAGTAGCTTATGAAAAGGCCAAGAAACTATTTAATATGTTTATTATTGGGAATTTCCTCTCTATAAGTGATGTATTTTATCTAACCCTTACACCCCAGCACACCTTTATTTGTGTGCTTTTGTTTTACTTGTTTTATTTTGTTTTATAACCCACTGAGTTCAGTTAGTGTTATCCCAATGTGTGTGGCCATCCAGAGGGTGTGTGTGGGCAGCCTTCTAGTGATGACGTTTCTGAGGAAGAATGAGTCTCCATCTCCATAAAGCTGTCAGTTGCCCATACCTTCTTAGCTAGGGGTGGCCTTCTTGAGGACCAGTCCCATTCTGCCCAAAAATTTGACTGACAGGATCCCAAGTGTTTGGGACTTAAAAAATGTTTCTTTTAAGTAATTTATTTAAATTTATTTTATGTGCATTGTGTAAAGGTGTCAGATTCCCCTGGAATTGGAGTTATAGAAAGTTGTGAGCTGCTATGTGGGTACTGGGAATTGAACCTGGGTCCTCTGGAAGAGCAGCCAGTGCTCTTAACCACTGAACCATCTCCCATCTCTCCAGTCCCTAGATTTTAAAATTTTATATGTGCATTGGAGACTATTTTTGGGGAAACTGGGTTCCTTCTCAGTAGGAATACTCTTTTTTCCTTTGTGTCTTTGTTCATCAACCTTCTATAAACCTACAATGTTCATGTTTAACATAGACAATTGTTATTCATGTAACTGATGTAGGATTGAGTCAATAAGAAATCAGTTGTTTTCAACTGATGTTGATCTAATTGACACAGGAAGAAAACGAAAATGAAAGGGAGAAAGAAAAACCTAAACACCTCTTATGAATTCTGTGTGGCTGGAGACTTAGGCCAGAGAACTTGTTCTAAATTGAAACTGAGGAGTCCTACATTGTTTGTGAATTGGCAGAGTCACCTAGTAGTCCACTTTTCTTGTCTTTTCTATTGATTTCTTATCCATTCCTGGTGAACAAAGTAGCAGAGATGGTGTGTCCTCCACCAACCTGTATTGTCGGACATGGACTGATTATTTGGTACGCCATTGAGAACATAAATGTCACAATGGAAATTGGTCAGAAAGTGTTTAGGGAAATTTCTAGTAATGAGAGAGGAGCCTTGGTTTACTTCCCTCCATGTGACTGTTTGCCCAGTTCATAATTGGTTATTGGGGTCTGGGCAAGGTATTCCCATTTAGAGAAGAGTAACTTTACTCAAAGCAAAGGCATACTACAGGACAGAAATATGCAATGAAACATGTCAACAGGAGTGAGGGTACACAAGGGGTCAGTTATCTTGGGGGGCTTTGAAAGAAAGAGGATTTGGTTGCTAAGGGGCACAGCATGCACACAAGGTTCAATATTTTGACCTACAGGATTACATTTTGTCAGCCTTGCTAACTACACATGACATTTGTCATAGAGATCTGATTTTAGAACTGTGCAGGCCCAATTATGTAGGAGAAAAAGAATTGTAAAATCAGAAGAAGAAAGATTGTCCTTAAACATTCATTTTGAGAACAGTTTGCCTTATTGCGCATGCATCTCAAACTACTTCACTGAGAATCAGCCTATTTTCCATGTGTCCAAAATGGTTTCCAAAAGGTATTTGAATACAATAAGGAGTTACTAAGGCATTTGCTAAAGGAACTAACTTGTTGTTCTTTTTAAAGGAGATATAGATACAGCCCACTAGAGATAATTTTTCTAAGAAAAATACCCACATGTTGCTAGGTTCATTGTTCAGAGAGGGCTGTGTACAGAGCCCAAGCCAAGTAGAGTTCCAGGTTGCTGAGTTTTTCCTGTGTTTCCTGCTTCACTATTGTCCCAATGCTTAATATTAATCTTGTTATCAATTACAGCAGTTCTCCTTGTTTAAATTTTTAGCTTGCTCACATTCTTTTCCTCTACCAAATTACTCCACAATCTGTACATTGAAGTTCATTTCAAGTTGTCTGATGTAGGGTAGAATGAAGTTATATTCTTCACTCTAATATCTCAGGCATAGCCCTTACTCTAGTTCTGGACAAAGTCCTTGTTCCCTCTACAACTTCTGATCCACGTCTCTTGTGTAGGCATTTCTTTCAGTGTTTTTGTCCTTAAAGCATCTACCAGAGTGATTCATTCAGCTTTGCGTTCAGTGCATTCTAGACTTTTTCTTGTCTAAAGAGAATTTTCTTGTCAGTTCTTCCACATTTCTTCCAAAACATGTTCAAAATGCCAACAGAGAACCTTGTTAGTTTTACTTACAATAAGGCTCCATTTTTTAAAAAATCTATTTCTTGTATCAGGCTTTTTATCTGGCTGCCATAAATGACTCTGAGAATAGGACCTTAAGGCAGAGTTTATTTCCTCTCACAATTGAAGGTCAAGTCCATAAAATGCATGACTATGAAGCGACTGGTCAATCGCACACAATCAGGAATAGAGTGATGTGTAGTTGTCTGTGTCTCAGCTCCCTCCTTCCATTAATGCAATCCCTATACCGTTTACAACATGCTACATCTCAAGTAGGCGCGCGTGGGGGGGGGGGGGGTGTGGGGGGGGCGGGGTGTTGGATATGACTGACTCCTGTAGGCTCATGTGTTTGAAACCTTAGTCTACATGTAGTGGAACTCATTGGAAAGTATTAGGTGTGGCCTTGAAGTAGGATGTGTGTCATGGGGGGTGGTCTTTGAGGTTTTAAAAGTCCATTCCAGGCACCTTGTCTGTCTCTTTGCCAGCTGCCTTTTCCAGGAGTAATACATTCAGCTACTGTTTCAGCTCCATGCCTGTCTGCTTCCCACCATAATAATTGACTGACCCTCTAAACGTATAAGCAAGCCCCCAATTAAATTATTTTTTTTATAATTGTTGCTCGATCCTGATATCTCTTCACAGCAGTAGAAAAGTAACTGAGACAATGGATGTTATTATATTACACCAAGTAATCAAGATGGCATCACAGAGATGTTTTTGGGTTAACCTTTATCTGCACAATCACTTGGAAGTGCCTTTACAAGCTTCTGTCCTAGATGATTCTGTATATTGTCAGCCTGTCAGTGAAAAGTAACCATTGTAACATGTGCACTATTTTAGGAGTCCGTGACCTTTGAGGATGTGGCTGTGAAGTTCACCTCAGGAGAGTGGGCTTTGTTGGATTCCAGTCAACAGAAGCTCTACAGAGATGTGATGATGGAAACCTTCTTGAACCTGATCTGCATAGGTGAAAAAATACAGCATGCTCCTGTCGCTTATTCAGTCAGAGAACAGCTGTGTCCTGCTTATGTGTGTAGTGGTGTAATTTGAATTCTTGAATGGAACCTGTGGGGAACTGAGTGCTTTAATCTTGAATACCTCCTAATGAATTATTTGGTTTTACTTCTAGAGAAAGGACTAGAAGAACATATTGAAGAGGACTACAAAGATCTCTGCAGAAATCTGGGGTAATTTATATGTAATAGAAAGGAATTTATATTTAACATTTGGTATGGGAGGTTTTTCATCTTCCCTAAGCTCGAATTAGTCCACCTGCGTTACTGTTTGACAGATGTACCTCCCTAATCAGACTTTTCACCCGGCACTGTTCCCAGAGCAGGTGGCACACGTAGGACTGGCGCTTGGTGCCAGCAGGAAAAACAGCCCCTCAGGACTTCCCCCGGCCCCACCTCAGCGGACAGTGAAAAAACAAGGAGAGTACTTGAAATAAGAGCTTTTGTTGGTTTGTTTTTTTTGTTTTATGAGACAGGGTTTCTCTGTGTAGCTTTGGAGCCTGTCTTGGAGCTCACTTTGTGGACTCGGCTGGTCTCGAACTCAAAGAGATCCTCCTGCCTCTGCCTCCCGAATGCTGGGATTAAAGGCTTGCGCTACCATCGCCAGGCCAGAACAAGAGCTTTTTTAGAGATTCCCACCCCCCCAGGCTAGAGCTCCTACCTGTCCCTGCTTGTCTCCTCCCCCAAGATGCAGTTCTTGATGCTGCTATTGCTGCTCAGGCTCTCTGCTAGCCACTTTTTGTTCTGGGGGTACGGCTTGAGTCCCCACTTCTGCCTCATTTGCACAGCCAAATTCTGCCTCAGCATTTCCCGTGCTGCCATTGCAGGTACTGCTAGGGGCTTAGCCCTTGCCCTCTTCATTGCAGCGAGGATTTCAAAGCCTCCACTGCTTTCTCCATGCCAGCAGCTTTTCCCTGGTCCTGCACCGCCTCTGCCGCGGTTCGCCCTTGGAGGCGCTGCCTGGTGACTGCAAGGACCCTGGTGTCCCTGGAACGCACTTAAATTCGGAGGTGCTTGCTCTCTGGCCTCTGCTAATTGCTTCCCAAGTGCTGCTTAGAAGAGGAGACACAGCACTAAGTGTGAGGGTTTGCAGTGTTCCAGGGGATTTTTTTTTCCCTAGGGCAGTATAGGTGACTTTCCCATTCGGATAGATGTTCCCTCCAGGTGAGTCTAATTTTGCCCTTACAGAAAGAAGATGAAACCTAAAAAGCTTCCAATTTTTTGAGTAAGAGAAATTACGAGATTTTTCAAGCCCTTCAGTTCCTCCCTCGTCTCATCTCAAGACTTCTTTTCCTTAAATTCAGCTTCATGGCCACGAAAGAACTGACTTTGATGGTACGATTTTATCTGCAAGCCTTTTTTTCCAGCGTCACTGGAGCGGAGGGTTTCTTGTGACCCTTATCTGCCTCTCCCTGTAGCTCATGACTCAGATCTAAGCTGTCCACAGGCCAAAAGCTTCCCCAGGAATATTTTTCTGCCTGTTTTCTTCATAGTATTTTTTCATGACTCTGGTTCTTCCCCAGGAGTCTGTGTTCAGAGTCCCAACAACAGCTCCTTCGTCTTGTTGCTTTTCTACCTTACTCTAAGCTTTTTCCTACACTATATTCCTATATTCTACCTTACCCTAAGGTTTTTCCTACACTATATTCCTATCTTCTACCTTACCTAATTTTTTCTTACCTAATATTCCTATACCTAGCCCTATATTTTTACTTAATTTTAATAGATATAAATTAAGACAGAGAGAGAGGGAGAAATAAATAGACAGAGAAAGATACCCGCTGCAGCCTAACGTGTGTCTTCGGCTTTTCTTTCCACTGCTTTGTTTCATGTATATACTCCTGAAAATTGAAAAATAAAGTAGCCTTTACTTTTAATTCATTGCCGGGCATGCCCCCCTGCTCCTGTGATGCCCCGACTCTCCTTTCACCAAGTCCCTAGTTAAATTCCTGTTCTGTGGGGATCCCTGAACCTGTGCCCCATGTTCTGGTGCCATCTGTGGGAGGCCAGCTCCCACTTTTTCCCAGGGTACTCCTGAGAAGAGGGGGATAAGAAACTTTTAGATAGATAGTGTGGAGAAGAGACAGATAGAAAGAAACACAGGATAGCTTTGGGAGGGCCTGGATCAATATCTACTGGCCCTTCTGTCTCTTCTAAAGGGCTTTTTATAGGAATGCAAAGGGGCAGGGCAAAAGACCTAGCACAGCCAAGTGCAGACCTTTCCAACGACCAGGTAACCACGCACGTGGTCAAGCCATTCCTTGGTTCAGCCCTGCTGGGTAAAGTAAGCTCAGATCTTACTAGGAAGACTTTGTGGGCCCCACAATTTGGGAGTGAGAAGACAACTGAGAAACTACAAAATGACCCAAATATACCTTGGTGCAAATTGAATCTAAGGACAAATTCCTGAAATGGAACATGGAATTGTATCATTCAATATTTGTGTATCTCATCTGTGTGATTCATGATTATCACTATCATGTGACAGACCAATAATTTCTGAAAGATCTGTCCCAGTGGTTTATTACACAAAAACTTACCATTCTATATATTCTCTGCAGCTTTGAACATAAGTGCTGTGTTTTGTTTGCTTTCTTTTGCTGTGACAGATAACAACTCTTCATTGCCATAGTCCCAACATGAAGGGAAGCCAGGGCAGGAACTCAAGCATGGCAGGAATCTGGTAACAGGAACTGAGCAGAGGTGATGGAGAAATGCTGTTTACTGGTGTGTTCCTCATCCCTTACTCAGCTTCTGTGTTCTTCAACCCTGGCCCATCTCTCTTGGGGGACACCACCCACAGTGGCCTGGGCCATTCCACATTAATCATTAATTGGAATATGTCTCAACAGATCTGCCTAAATGTCAATCTGATAAAGCCATTTTCCCTGTTGGTATTCCCTCTTCTCAGATGTGTGAACTAGCTTGAGTCAAGTTGATGGAAACTAACCAAAACACTTGACTTCTTGTCTACATTACACACAAATCCCACGCTATTAATCCAGAACCTTTCATGGTTTGTTTCTCCCTAAATCATCTTAATCTCACAATATACAGCATGATATAACACCAGAAATCACAGATTCTTAATATCACTATCCAGTAGAACCTTTGAGATACCTTCCATCATCCCTAAAACTATAGAAGTCAGATTTCCATCATTTACATTGTTCTCAGCATTCCTGTCCTCTGAGGTCCTATGACATCCACTGAGCCTTAATGACTAAGGTCCTCTAGCCTAAGGTTCCAGACATTTTCATAGTCCTTGTAACAACCTTGGCCAGCTTTGTCACAGTACTACGCTGTAATGAGAGTTCCTGTAGAGCTCTGCAGCTGGTTTGATTCGAGAGTGTTAGCACCTGGCTTTGATTTGCCTTTTGTGACTGCTACATTTTGTGTCCATTACCTTCTGTTTGAAGTATGTAAATTTTATCTGAGAGCTTCCTAAAGGTTCAAAGCCTTTTGCAAAACTGTTGTGGGAGGACTCTGAAAACTGAAGTGTCCTGTGATTGGGAATTGCTTTGGCATTTGTCTCTTTGGGGAACTTCAGATAAGAAGTTTTGGTATGTGGAAATTGACTTGCTAAAGGTGTAAATTGTTTAACAATAAAAAAGTTTTTTGCAAGGCTACAATTAGTCAGTCCGAAAGAGGCTGACCACCCTGTGGCTGAAAAGAGTGATCCTGATTCTTCCACAGCTTGTGTGAACTGAACACCCGATACAACACTATCCCATGAACCTGGTAACCAGCTTCTGTTTGACAGTGCTCTCTGCTCCTGATAAACACCATGACCAAAGTCATCTTTGGGGGCAATGGGGTTTATTTTGGCTTACATTTCCATGTTATAGTCCAGCAAGGGGAACGCAAGGGAGGAGCTCAAAAAGGCAGGAACCCAGGGACTGCAACTGAACGGGAGACCATGGAGGAAGGCTGCTTACTAGCTTGCTCCTTGTGGATTACTAAGGGACATGTTTTATAAAATGCACACCTCCCACCATGGGCTAAGCCCTATATCGTGGATCAGGAATGGGAGAATGCCCCCACAGACTAGTTTACAGCCCAGTGTTTTCAAACTACTTTTTTCAATTGAGGTTCCTTATTATCAGATGATGCTAGGTTGGTCTAGTTGAAAACAAATTAACCAACAGAGGCTGAGTATTTAGAATGTCAAAATGCAACAACTTTATGTGTGTTGTGATTGTCTCTTAATGCCAAAACCTGTCCCTGAATGATCATGCCTTTTATGTTCATCAATTATTTATGTGTACGCATATGTTTGCTTTGTACACCACTTATGCCAAAAAGACCAGGGGAGGGCAGCAGATCCTTCAGATCAAGAGTAATAGGAACTTGTGTGCCTTACACATGAATGCTGGCCATCAAACTCTGGTTTGCTGAAAGAGCAAGAATCTCCAAGACTATGATATAGCTCCTTCATAATTTTTGTTTGTTTATTTATTTGCTTGTTTATTTATTTATTTATTTTGAGACAGGGTTTCTCTCTGTAGCCCTAGCTGTCCAGGTACTAGCTCTGTAGACTAGGCTGGCCTTGAACTCACAGAGGTCTGCCTGCCTCTGTCTCCCAGTGCTAGGTTTAAAGGCCACCGCCATCCTTCCACCTTCATAGTTCTTAATGAAGCATAGTCAACACTCTACTTCTTCACAGGTGACAGTGGGTTTGCATGTTGTAATATTGTCCTCACCATTGGAGCCGTCCTGCCTTTGCCTCTCTAATAGTAAAGTTGTAATGGACCACATGACCCAGCCTCCATTACTTCACTTGTTTACAGTAATGCTCTTCTCATTTTTTGCAGAACTCAGGTGGTTGAGAAAGACTGTGGATATGAATGTGATACTCGGTGTGATGACAACTGTCAACCAATTCCAAAGAATATGATTAATGAATACATGCCTCATATAATAAGAGGATATGAAAGCCTATGGCATGTAAGAAACATCATAGATCATTCATTCTCACGTGTGTATCTCAGAGTCCAATCTAGAGGGAAACAACCTCAATATAAGGAAGCTTTTATACATCAGAAACATTGGAAAAATATCAGTAATTCTGAATCTCTTCAGGTACTTGAAACTTTTCCTAGAGCGAAACCTTACAAGAATCAGCAATGTAAGGAAGCCTTTAGGAGTCTCCCTTCTAATAAGCCTCACAAGAGAATACAACGTGGAGATAAATTCAATCAGAACTTATTAAGGAGATATACAGATAGCCCGAAAGATGATGGAATCCACACGGAAGTGAAATCATTTGTTCATAAGCACAGTGAAGAAGCCTTTATTGATTCCAGTAACTTTATCAACCCTGAAAAAGGTCATATTGGAGAGAAAAGGTACATTTGTAAGCAGTGTGGGAAAACATTTAAATATGCTTCATGTTTTGAGAAACATAAAGTAACTCACAGAGAAGAAAAGCTGTACACATGTAAGCATTGTGGAAAAGCCTTTACCCGATCCAGTTATCGTAATATTCATGAAAAGAGTCACAGTGGAGAGAAACCTTATGCATGTAAGCACTGTGGCAAAACCTTTGCCATTTTGAGTTCATGTAGCACTCATGAAAGAATTCACACTGGAGAGAAGCCTTATGCATGTAAGCATTGTGGAAAAACATTCACCAGTCTAACTTCCTGTAGAATTCATGAAAGAATTCACAGTGGAGAGAAACCTTATGCTTGTAAGCACTGTGGCAAAACCTTTGCCATTTTGAATTCATGTAGCACTCATGAAAGAAATCACACTGGAGAGAAGCCTTATGCATGTAAGCATTGTGGAAAAGCCTTCAGCCATTCCAGTTATCGTAACATTCATGAAAGGGGTCACACTGGAGAGAAACCTTATGCATGTAAGCACTGTGACAAAACCTTTGCAATTTTGGGTTCTCTTGTCACTCATGAAAGAACTCACACTGGAGAGAAGCCTTACATATGTAAGCATTGTGGAAAAGCCTTCACCCAAGCCAGTTATTGTAACATTCATGAAAGAATTCACACTGGAGAGAAACCTTATGCATGTAAGCATTGTGATAAAGCATTCACCAATTCCAACGCTTGTAACATTCATGAAAGAATTCACACCGCACAGAAGCCTTACACATGTCAGCATTGTGGAAAAGCCTTCACCCAAGTCAGTTCTCGTACCATCCATGAAAGAATTCACACTGGAGAGAAGCCTTATGCATGTAAGCATTGTGGGAAAGCCTTCAGCCAAGCCAGTTATCGTAACATTCATGAAAGAATTCACACTGGAGAGAAGCCTTAAACATGTAAACATTGTGAAGAAACCTTTGCCAATTTCAGTTGGTATATCACTCATGAAAGGATTCACACTGAGAGACAAATTACGCATGTAAGCATTGTGGAAAAGCCTTCTCCCACTCTAGTTATTTTAACATTCATAAGAGGTGTCGCACTGAACAGTAGTTTTATTTATATTATATAAGTATGGTGGAAAAGCCTTCTTGGTAATTAGATTCATGTGAGTAGCCATTTTCTGGATGTCATTTGTGTAGACTTTGTTCCCCAAAGTTTTATAGTTTCTGTGTGTCTGTTGTGTTTGTGTGTATGTGTGCCCATGCATGTAAGTGCCTGAGGTCAGAAGAGGGTGCAAGATCCCCTGGAACTGGAGTTAGAAGCAGTTGCGAGCCGAGTTCGCATCGCACTAGGATGCAAACAGCGGTGCTTTGGAGGAGCGGCGAGTGCTTTTAATCTTGACACAGTCTCACCGTCAATTCATTTATGGATATTCTATGGTTTGTACTTCTCAGTATTCAAGTACAGAACTGGAGTTTTCTTTTTCAGTTTTTGCTGATGCTTTTATTTTTTGGCTGATTCATGAATATCTAAATATTTCAGTAATCAGTAAGGAAACAGTTATTCAAGATGATTGATCATCATCCTTCTGCACCTGCATAAATTTGTGGGAGCCATAGCACTCACAGGAAAATTGAGACAGAAAAATTAGAAATTGCAGGAGGTTGTAGGGATGTATATATAAAAGACAGTGGCAGCTGAGAGACTAGCAGCTTTAATCTACCTAAGCTTCATTTATCCTAAAGATCACCTTTAGAAAATCCCAGTTTTAGATCTTGGAGATGGCTACTAAGTTAATGGCCCATAAAAGCTGTCACTTGAACACTTCTACCCGCCCTCCCTCGTTTTGTCCTCACTTAGTTGTCAAGCCACAGTGGCAATAGGGCATACAGTTCAGGCTATTCCAAACCTCCTGCTTGTGTTTCTGTGCAAGTCATTGTAAGGATACACAAGAACCTAGAAGGCATGCTTGCCCTGCACACACAGATCACCTCACCCATACGAATACCTTAATGTAAGTGTAGATAATATTGTCCATCTTTGAATATAAGGTGCTGAGATAACTTTATTTGCAAAAGAAGCAATAAATAGAAGGCATGGCGAGCTCCAGAGTTAAATTCTTCAATGTTTCTACATCATCACTACAGAAGGACTTCCGTGTGGAAGGACCAAGCAGACTCCAATACAGGCTGCCCAGTCTTCTCTCAGAGATCAGGCCTCAATTTCAGTTTCCTGAGACTTGAGCAAGCAGTTTCTGGGAGGGCCATGAACAAAAGACAATCACTGATGTCTGTGCCAGCAGGGACAGGGAAATAGGACGCACCGAACTTGGGCCACTGAGCCAGTCTCCACAGTCAGTACATGCTAGCCCAGCTAGCCTCCATGGCAGCTCAAGGACAAAGCCTGGGACTTGTCCAGGCCTGCCCCCAAATGGATAACTGTAACTCCCAACTTACCCTAGCCAATTAAAAGTTACTAACATGACTGACACTCACATAAACCAATCCTGAGTCTGTTCCTATGTAGTGTGTAGACGCCAAGACTCCCCCCACCCCACTAGCTTTGCTTCCTATAAATATTCTACCCCCTTGCTACTCGGGATCTCCTGCTCTGCTGCTGCATCAGACAGATGGAGAGGCCCGGGTTAACTCAAAATAAAAAACACTTTTTGCTTTTGCATCAGATTTGGTCTCTTGGTGGTCTTTGGGGGACTCTGGCTACAACATTGTGTCCATGTGATATTGAGGTTTGTGAATGTGTTTCCACTTTTGAATGTAGACATTACTCCTGTTTTGGTTTCAAGACACTTCTTTGTCTGATTTTAAGCCTTTTCAAAATTTGTTGAAAATTGCTGCCATGTCATTTCATTTTTCTATGCATTCAGTAATTGTATTCTCTTCTTGGTATTTCAGTTTTCTTTTTATAAAATGGTCACATTGAGTAGGACATGGTAGGTGAAACCTTTTATCCCAGAACTCTGGAGACAGAGGCAGGTGATGGGGGCTCCAGGCTGGCCTAGTCTGTATTGGGTGTTTTAGGCCAGTCACTGCTCCATAACAGAGAGGCTCGGAATCAAAAAACGAAACACACAACCAAATAAGGAAATGGATAGGTTTAAGTGTAAGGTTAAACTGTTGTGTTTGCATAGAAGGCCCTTGTTCCCATAGCTGTGTCTGGAGAGAACTCAGGATTCCTTCTACCCCAACTCTATTGGTTTTGGCCTCAGGACCTCCAATCAGGAATATCCAGGCCTATGTCTCTTTCATTAATCAAGGATGCTGTTACTTCCCTTCATCAAATGTCCACTAAGGTACATGGATATTCAGAAAGCCTCACCGTTGCCACTGGGTTTGATTGAATCCAGTGTAGATGCTGAGGTGTGTGGTGTCGGCTCCTTCCACATTCATGTCTACTGACGTTAGGCCCGTAGGGAGGACACCTTGATCCATCAGAAACAGGAAAGACTGTGTCCACCGCTCTTGGAATCGAGTTGTTGTTTGTGACATTGCAGGGGCTGTGGCTCTGTGGCTTTGATGTCCCCTGGCACTGTGCAGACAGGAGTGCACTGGAGAATGCTACACTGGCTTCCTCGTCACAGAACCGGAATTGTGGGCGAAGCAGGCAGCTGTGCATAAGACCTGTTCTGTCCCAGGGAAACGACTGTGTCTCAGGCTAGTTTCTTGCTGTGATGAAACAGCACCTGGAACCTGTGCCTTTTCAGAGCTTGGAGAGCTGCCATGTTGGTGACACTGTGTCCAGGCAGTGGTGTGGAGGGTCGTGGGTGGTGTGCTCTCTTGGTAGTCTCCTTTAGAGCTATGTCAGTGCTGCTTTAGAGTTTTCCCGTCATCACCTTTGTGATTTTTTTGTTTTGCTTAGTACTGAACTCGAAGCTATGCCTGGCATATGGCCAACACAGGCTTTGGTACATTCGCCAAGCAAAAACTCTTCAGTGTGTGTGTGTGTGTGTGTGTGTGTGTGTGTGTGTGTGTGTGTGTGTGTGTGTGTGTGTTCTGTCCTTTTAAAAATGATGATGGGAGAGGAGTGGGTCAAAATTCCCATTCACAGAGGAAGAGAATTTTAAATTAGATTTCTTTTTTCACTAACCAGTTCTTTGACAAAAATTGGGATATTTGAAAAGCTCTCCCAAGCTTGCCCTTTGCAAGACCTGTGAAGGGGATCATGGGCTTGGGAATGGATTGTTTCTTGTTTGTTTTACTCTAGTCTGCTTCTCCAAGTTGAAGAGCTTGAATGAAGGAGCACTTAATCGGTAATTAATCATTTTACATGATGAACTTCTTTAGAGGCAAAATAGTATTTTCATTAGTGTTAGATTTTAGGGTACAGGAGACAAAAAGCTGGAAAGAGACCAAAGTCTGACCTCAACAGACAACACATACAGCAAGCTGAACCTGCTTTTGCTGTGCAGGGAAGCGGTGCAGTGCAAGATAGCTGCCTGACACATTTATAAAAGGGTCCTGGGATCAGGCAGTTGAAGCACCTTGTTGTACTCAGCCCTGGTATGCAAGCTCTCCTTTCTGAAATCATTAGCCCAAGGAAATCAGACTACCTTGGGAAACAGATTTTTCTTTCTGGCCTGACCCATAATGGTTGAGAATTTCATGCCTTCTTCCATCCCTCCATGTGGGATTTAAATGGTCAACAAGCCCAGCTATGATAATCTTTTTCACAGGGGCACTTTGGAACATCTGAAGACTTAAGTTACTTAGATAGGAGGACAGTCACTTACAAAATGATTATGATTAGTCAAAATAGTCCCTCTCATATGAAGAACATTTTCAGTGGTCATGTTTAGAGGCCAAATTTGGTAGACTCCTGAATAAGATATTTGTGGATTTTACTCTTTATTTCTGTTAAATGAACAATGTGAATAAGGGTTGGAAAGATGGCTCAGTATTTAAGAGCACAGACTTCTCTTTCAAAGGGACCACAGCATGTGCAGAGTGGCTCACAACCGTCTGTGACTCCAGTTCCACGGTATACAGTACCATCATTTGGCTTTCTAGTGCACAAAGTGCACATGAGGTGCACTGATGTAAATGCAGGAAAACCATCCATACTCAGGTGTAACACGAATTGCTACATAATCTTATTAATAAAAACCCGGAGCCAGATGTTGGGGTGATTACTGAAAGATCAGAGAAACAGAACAAGCCACATCCAACCTCACCTTAACCAACTCCTCAGCCGCCAGAGTGAGCTACTTCCTGTATACTCACACCTATATACTTTTCTGTGCCCTGCCACCTTACTTTCTTCCTCTGCTCAGCTCTATCACTTCCTTTCTGTCTGCATAGACCTCCAGACTTATATGGTTAACTAGCCCTGGGATCAAAGGCATGTGCCACCATGCTTGGCTCTGTTCCTGGTGTGGCCTTGAACTCACAGAGATCTGGATGAATCTCTGCCTCCCGAATGCTAGGATTAAAGGTGTGTGTTACCACTACCTGACCTCTGTTTAATATAGTGGCTGGCTTTTTTCTCTGATCCCCAGATAAGCTTTATTGGGGTGCACAAATAAAATACTACCACACTCAGGAAATGAAATAAATAAATCTTAATATGCATATGAGTGGCAGTATTATTCTGGGGAATATCCCAGTGTTGTGGGAATTATTTCAAAGCTCTGGGAGCAATAGCAGGCATGATGACATCCCAACATTAATCATTTAATGTGTCTGCATCATCACTAGAGAATGACCATAGTGGGGCTCTTTGTTAGCAGTCTGTAAGTTGGGAGTATTTACTCTAGTGAATGGAGGCTTTCTTCATGGTCTTGGGCAAAGCAAACCTTTTCTTAAGTTCAGGGATTGCTTTTCATATCTCTGAGTCCATAGTGGAGTACTCCTGCCATATATGTTTTATCCATCCATTGAGGAATTGTATCTTGTTGTTTTGTTTTAATTTTCTTGGTAGGAAAAGGATACCAAGAAATATCAAGTATGAGATAGTAATGGGCTGTTGCCTCATACCTGATCTTTGTGTTTTTCTATCTAGCCCTGTCTCAATTAGGGTTTCCATTGCTGCAACCAAACACTATGATCAAAAAGTAAGTTGGGGAAGAAAGGGTTTATTTGCCTTACACTTCCACATTGCTGTTTATCACTGAGGGAAGTCAAGACAGGAATTCAAACAGGGCTGGAACCTGGAGGCAGGAGCTGATGCAGAAACCATGGAGGGGAGCTGCTTACCGGCATTCTTCCCCTAGCTTGCTCAGTTTTTCTTATAGAACCCTGGACCATCATCCCAGGGATGGCAACAACCATAATGGGCTGGATCTTCCCCCTTTGATCACTAATTGACAAAATGCCTTATAACTGGGTCTCATGGAGTCATTTCCTCAACTGAGGCTCCGTCCTCTCTGATGACTCAGCTTTTGTCAAGCTGACACACAAAATCAGTAAGTACAACTTACCCTTGGTCATCTTGACACATAAACACATCACTATTAAGCCACAACGCTTCCTTTCTTATTCATCTCCAAGATCTCACATTCAAACCTTAAACAATTTTAAAAGTTTCACGGTCTTTACAAATTCAACACATTAAATTTTCAACACATTAAAATTTCAGTCTCTTTAAGATATCAATCTCTTTTAATAGTTCAAGTATTTCATCTGTGTGCTCCTTTAAAAATCAAAATAAAATTAAATACCTTCTTCAAGAGGGAAAAACTAGGACACCATCACAATCTGAACCAAACAAAACAAAACTCCCAACAGTATAAATAACTCAATGTCCAGTTATCTGGGATTCACTCATGATCTTCGGGACTCCTCCAAAGGACATAGGTAATTTATCCGGATCTGCCCTCTACAGCAAACACAGCTTGTCTTCTCAGCTCCTGCTGGCTCAACTCCGTTGCTGCTACTGTTCTTGGTGATCTTCCCATGGTACTGCTATCTCCAGATGCCGGGGTTCCTCGCTGCAACTGGGCTGCACTTTCGCCAATAGCCTTTCATAGGTTTTCTTCCTTGTGCCAAGCCTTAACTTCTCTGCTTGAGCCTTTCAGTCCTGGGTCTTCAACTGCTACTGAGGCTGTACCTTCACCAATGGCCTCGCCCAGTTCCAAGCCTCAGGTGTTCTTCATGCCTTCAAAACCAGTACTACCTGGGTGATGCTTACACATTAACAAGTCCTGCTGCCAACATGATGTACAACCTCTGAAACACAGCTTCTCTATGCTCTCAGGAACTCTTCCTAGAATATTCAACTCAGTGATGCTGGTTTCTTCTCAATCATGGCTAATTTCATAGCTCCAGCTCACCAGCAACAATTGTTCCAGTAACGTAAAGGATTTACTTTAGTAGTTCTGTTATCTTGTTTTTTTGTTTTTTTTGTTTTTCGAGACAGGGTTTCTCTGTAGTTTTGCGCCTTTCCTGGAACTCACTTTGTAGACCAGGCTGGCCTCGAACTCACAGAGATCCACCTGGCTCTGCCTCCCGAGTGCTGGGATTAAAGGCGTGCACCACCACCGCCCGGCTTCTGTTATCTTATTAATCACAGGACTATCTAGGCCTTATGTCTCTTTTGTTCATCAGGGATGCTGTTACTTCTTTTCATCAAATGTCCATTGAGGTGCATGGATATGCACAAACACCATTGCTACCAAATTTGAATCCTTTGTAGATCCTGAGACTTGTGGTATTAGTCCTGTATGACATCTGCTACTGATATTAGGCCATGCGGAGGACATCTTGGTACATCAGCAACAGGAAAAGTGTGAGTTGCCCTGGACTCCTGGAATTGTGGGTTGTGCATTTGTGCCATTGATGAGGCTGTGGGCTACTGCCTTGATGTTCCCCTGGCACTGTGTGGAGTGTGCTCTAGCCGCCTACACTGGCTTTGTCTTTCCTGGAGCAATGGAATTGTGTGCAAAGCATGTAGCAAGGCCTCTGGCCCTGTTCTGTCCCAGGGAATCTACTTCGTTTCCAGGCCACTCTCTTCTTGGGGTGAAAAGGCTTCTGGGACCTGGCCTCCCTGCTGCTTGCTCTGCTGCCAGGTTGGTGACACCGCACCCTGTCTGGTGTGAGGGGACATGAGTGGTGTGCCCTCTCATTGCTCTCCCTCATAGCTCTCTCTGTGCTGCTTTAGATTTTTCCTGACATCATGTTTGTGAGTTTATATTTTTCTTAGTATCGAACCACAAGCCAGGCCTGACAGAAGATAAACAATGGTTTTGTCATTAGGCCTCATCCCTCCATTCCCAACTCCCAATTGTGTGTGTGTGCGTGTGTGTGCGCGTGTGTGTGTGTGTGTGTGTGTGTGTGTGTGTGCGTGCGTGCGTGCGTGCGTGTGTGTGTGTGTGTGTGTGTGTGTGTGTGTGTGTATTCTGTCCCATTTAAAAATGATGATGGGGAAGGACTGGATTGTTCTCTCTGTAATAGTAGGTCAAAATTGCCAGTCACAGAGGAAGAGAACTTTCAATTCAATTTTTTTTTTTTTTTTGGTTTTTCGAGACAGGGTTTCTCTGTGTAGCTTTGCGCCTTTCCTGGATCTCACTCTGTAGACCAGGCTGGCCTCGAACTCACAGAGATCCGCCTGGCTCTGCCTCCCGAGTGCTGGGATTAAAGGCGTGCGCCACCACCGCCCGGCTCAATTCAATACCTTTCCTCAGGCCAAAACTGGAGTTTTTGAAAAGCTGTGTCAGCCTTGACCTTTGTGTGCCCTGTAAAGGGGATCTTGGGCTTGTGATTGAATGGTTTGGTTGCTTCTCTAAGTAGAAGAAATTGCATGAGGGAGTACTTAATGAGTACTTAATCCTTTTCCCCAGAGGAACATCTTTGGAGAAAAAAAATAGTGTTTCCAATAGTTTTAGATTTCACAGTGAGGAGTGAGGAGACAGAAGGCTGGAAAGAGACCAGAGTCTAACCACAGCAGAGGACACTGGTCATTAGCACAGACCCCAATGACACTGACTTTCCTGCTGTGCACTGGGATCAAGCTGCCTGGGACCCTTTAAAGGTCCCTGGAAGGGGCTTGGGACTGAGGAAGTTGATGCAGCTTCCTGGGCTGTGTGCTGCTATGTAGTCTCTCCTTCCTGAAGTTATTTGCCCACGGGAGACAGGCTGTCTCAGCAGACGTTCCTCTCCTGGGATGGTTGAGCAAGGCAGGCTGTGGTCTCCTACAAATGCTATGTTTACAACCAAGATACTCTGTCTGTTAGTTTTTCGGCTGCGTTGTGTTCTTACCCTGCAAGGAAATGCCACGAAACACGACAGAATCCGCTAACAAGAGTTTTATTAAAGGTAAAGGGACAGAGAGTGAACAGGCCTGCGGGAAACACGTGTGTGGAGAAGAAGGAGGAAGAAGAAGAAGAAGGAACCGGGAACATGGCGCCGGATTTTAAAGGCTGGGCGTGGACAGATCAGCGTCACTATTACACGCAAGCGCGTAGATCACATGGCCACGTTGCGCGCCTACGTAGCCAATAGAACGTCACGGATCTTGGTCACGCAAGATGCCCTGACCCGGAAATGGCTATCCTGACCTGGAACTGGCTAGGTGGAAGTGTCTGTTGGGCATATGCGAACACGCCCGACCGTGGGGGCGTGTTGTAAACCTTTCATCCCTGACTCTTCCTTTTTTAAAAAAGAAAAAAATTGTGGTTGCCTGGGTATGGGGGCGACGTTTCTCTCAAAGACTGCTTCCAGCTGAATAGTGGGCGTTGGTTGGCTCTTGGGGGGCAGGGGGATGAGAGGGTATCTTGTGAAGTCCTGGGATGTTGGTGGGCAGGTCCTGGAATGAAGTTCTGCCGTCCCCTTGTTCTGCGGCTGTCTATCCGTGCTGTGGCTGGGAACCCTCCGTGCTGTGGCTAGGAACCTTCTGTTTGACAAGATACTGTTGACATAGAAAAGGCTTAGAGAGAAAGAATCATTATTATTTTATTTTGGAGTTGGCATTTGTCTGAGGTAGATCTGGCCTGTCCAGATAGAGACATGTGATATTTACCTGAGGTAGATCTGGCCTTAGTACTCTGCTTAATTTTTATCTGAGACAAGCCTTATTAGAGGTAGTTTATTTAAGGCACCGGTTTCCCTTATTAGGTTAGCATTTAGGAAACGCAGGTGATCAGTTGCTGAGTATCGAACAATGATAGATTATTGTATTACATTATTCCTTACCGCCTGGATATTTTTGATGGTCCTTTTTGCCTCCGGCTCTGTGTGTCTACCTGAGAGACTGTGTCTACCTGAGAGACTGGTAGGGGAAAGGAATTGTTAGAGTCAGAAGAGTGAGTGGCTAGGAGGAGAAGTAAAGGAGCTGCTGGCGCGTCTGGGATGAGGCGAATGTGTGGAGCGAAAGAAATGGACGCTCCTACCTTAGCTAGAAGATCCCCCCCCCCATTAAAGGTACAGGGCAGCTTGGCACCACTAAGAATGTGTGTGTGAGAGGGATGCCTCTGAAAATGCAATTGAGTGGTGGTGTCTGATGAGGTAGATAAGGCTGTCCCCAACCCCGACAATAGGGAGACGAGCAGGAGAGGTGGGCCTCCAAAACTCTCTCAGGACAGAGTAGGTAGCTCCGGTGTCCAAAAGGAACGAGATGGGGCTGCCCATTGACCTTTATAATTACCCTAGGTTCCCTGTGTGAGATGGGAGTGGCCGGGGCAGAAACCAGGCAGCAGCAGTCCTCGCTGTAAGCCAAGCCTACAAAGTCAGCTGGAGGGTGGTCTTCATCTGGCATTCCTATGTCGCTTGGGACATTAGGACAGTCAGCTGACCAGTGACCCTTTTGGCAACACTTTGGACAAGGCTTTGTCGGTGCCCTTCATGGGCCGGTGGTGCAAGCCTGGGCCCAATGGCCTTCTCTCCCACACTTGAAGCAGGGACCAGATGGCTTTCGGGGAGCCGGTCGGGCAGTGCTTGCCAGCATCTGGCAGCTCCTTTTATGGGCTTTTTCATCTCTCCCATGGTACACCTTAAACACTATCACCAGCACATCTGCCTGTGGAGTTAGAGGGCCGTTCTCCAAACGTTTAAGTTTATCCCTAATGTTAGGGAAGCTCTGTGAGACAAACTGGGTTATTAGCAGCTGCCTGCCCTCAGGGCTCTCCGGGTCTAAGCTAGTGAACTGAAGTAGAGCCTTGGTGAGCTGCTCTAGGAAATGAGATGGATTTTCGTCCTTATCTTGAATAACCGTTTTTAGTTTTTCATAGTTTACTGGTTTTAGGGCAGCCTTACAGAGGCCTGTCAGGAGACAGGTAATAAACCTATCTCTGGCTAGACAGCCACCCTGGGTGTTATAATCCCAGTGTGGCTCTCGGTCAGGAACCACCTCAGCTCCTGGAGGGTGTGAGAGGTTAGTTTAATGAATTTTGTCTGCGTGAATCCTAGCCTGCTCCCAAACCCACCTGCGCTCCTCAGGAAGTAAGTTATTAGAAAGTATCATGAATATATCATGAAAGATGAGACTATAAGATTGAGTTATATATTGAAACTGTTTAATAAAGGCAGCAGAATTAGAAGTATAAGAACCCAGCTTACTTTCTATCTGAGAGAGTTCTGCTAGAGAGAATGGAACATGAACTTTAATCAGTCCATCCACACCAGCCACCTCTCGCAAAAGGAGAACAGTGGAAGGTTTTGGATGGCTGGAATCCGACAATTTAGCAGTCCGAGAGCGGGTGATAGGAGGAGTGAAGTTTGGAGCTAGGGCAGGGCCTTTGGAACCGGCTGCTGCTGAGAAAAGAGCAGCTTTAGAAGAAGAAGAATCTGGAAGGGGAGCGGAAGGAACGGTTTTCTAGGAGTTGGAGCTGGAGGTCGAATAGGTGGAGGTTCGTTAGCAGGATCTAGAGTCAGAGATTCTGGAGTCAGAGAATCCTCCGGTTCAGGCATAGCCAGGAGCATATGAGCAGGAGAGAAGGAATCCAGAAGAGACGGTTTAGCACTGAGAAAGAAAAATGCTATAACGTAGGGCAACTCTTTCCATCTGCCTGAGCGCTGACAGTAATTAGATAACTCCGTAAAATATCGGGATCTAAGGAGCCGCTCGGCGGCCATTTTTTGTTGTTTTCTAAAGAATACTTTGGTCATTTTTTAGAACATAGACGAGTTAGCTTAGGAATCTTTATGTAAGGCATTAAACTGAGAGGTTTTAAAGCTTCAACAAGACAGCCTAACGGAGAGGAAGGACTAACAGGGTTGGAAGCCTTGTTTCCCATGTCTGCAGCGGAGAGGCAGAAAAATAAAAAAGATAAAAAAACAAACGTGATCCGGAGCCAAGGCCCCAGGCGTCCCCAAGGCCAAGGACAGATCCCGGGCACAAGCCGCTCCTTGGCTCGTCAGCCACAGAAGCGGGGGCCCCTGCCACGCGAGGAAAGGATTCCCCGGGAACCCGGACAGCGTCTGCCGCTTCGTCAAGTCGGATGAACGTGTCGGCCCCACGTGGCCCCCAGGACGCACCCAACGGCGGTGGTCCCAACGCGAGAAATATCTGAGGCTGCAGACGTGGGAGAGGGCTAGAAATCTCAGGCCTGTGATAGGGGCCGACCGTAGCCAATGAAGACCGTGGTCGGGGGTTCCCCGGTCTCAAGAATACTTGTGAGGTACCGGTTGTTCTCACAGATTCAGGAAACCGTTTACACTGGCCAAAAAATGGGGGAGACTCACCAATCGGAGAAAGCAGTGTTGCATGGATTTTCTGCGGTCAGGCAAAATGGAGAGCGGTCTGTCGCGTACAGAGCAGAGTGTTGCAGTCCCCGGTTTACGGGTTTCCAGGCGCAGGGCACCCGGAAGCGCCCGCTCGGTTTCGGCACCAAAATGTTAGTAGATCACATGGCCACGTTGCGCGCCTACGTAGCCAATGGAACGTCACGGATCTTGGTCACGCAAGATGCCCTGACCCGGAAATGGCTATCCTGACCTGGAACTGGCTAGGTGGAAGTGTCTGTTGGGCATATGCGAACACGCCCGACCGTGGGGGCGTGTTGTAAACCTTTCACTGTCAAATAGAATGATGTTTGTACGATATTACTCCTGGACATTCATAGACATGAGTATTCAAATTCTTTATCATTTCAGGTTGTCATTGTTGCTGTTTTCACTCTCTTGCTTGAGTTTATTTCTAAATAATTCTTTTCATGTGACTATGAATGGGATCTTGTCACTGATTTTCTCTTTCACACTAGTCTTTACTGGAGCACAGAAATGCTGTTGCTTATTGAATGTTAATATTAATCCTGCCATGTTACTGAAAGTATTAAATGCTTAAGAAAGGTGGGTATATTTCACAGTTCCTTCTGTATTTTAGTGTAAATTCTTGCTCAAATTGAAATGAGTGTTAGTAATATACTAGATAATTCTAGCTAATGATAGGCGAAATAATTGCATAAGATAAGAAGACCAACTTTGAGGGTTAAATACTTATTAACTTTATGTTCATTTTTACATTTACAATATAAAATTTAAATTTATAAATATAAATACTTATATCATGTATGAAACAGTACACTTTCATCTGAAAGTGTATACACATCAGAAGTATGAAATGGTGAATGGGTCTTGGGCTTCTAGAATCTTTGATGGCAGTTTGCGACACTAACTACTTATGTGGCACTAGCACCTGAAGTTTCCCGTGGTGCTGGAATATGGAGTATGATCCAGCAATGCCTGTGCCCACATGCACTTGAAGTGTGCACCCCAGGCAGCCTTGAGTCCTGAGTCCCCACTTTTCTGTCCTGGTGAAGCTGCTTCCCCACAATCCCTGGCACCTTTGTGTGAGTCCTTGCCATGAACCTGTGCTATACAGGTTTTAAAGAGATGACGGGATGGTGATGCTGAGTCCAGACTGTGTCTTTACCCCTTAACACCTCATCTAGTATGATTTTTGCATTTTTCCTTTTCCCTTTTTTATGATAATGTGTAACATTTTTTCTTGTTATTCCCTACTGCAGTGGTCAAAATTACAAGTCTGAAGAAAGAGAAATTTTGGCCAGGCGGTGGTGGCACATGCCTTTAATCACAACACTCAGGAGGCAGAGCCAGGTGAATCTCTGTGAGTTCGAGGCCAGCCTGGTCTACAGAGCGAGAACCAGGGCAGGCACCAAAAACTACACAGAGGAAACCCTGTCTCGAAAAAAACCAAAAAAAAAGAAAGAAAGAAAGAAAGAAAAGAAAAAAAGAGAAAATTTTCATTTTGCTTCATATTTTGTTTGTTTGCAGTGATCATTTTTGAGGTTAAAACTGGAATTTTGGAAAGTATTCCCAACATTACTGAATGTCAAATGGGCCAGATAGTCATGTGTAGAGGTTCTGGAATAGTGTTTGTTGCTGCTTGAAACAGAAGGGATTGGGAGTGTGAATTCTGTAATGTAATTTCCAGGATTGCAGTCCTTGATCTCTTTCTTGTTGCCTTCAGATAGTTGGTTTTGTAAGTGGTGTAATTTCAAACCATTGAGAAAGCTGCAGAAAGTTCGTAGGAGAGAAAGACAAATTTGCTTTTTATCTGATGGAGATGTTTTTTAATTGAAGGTTGACACGAGTGTACAGTACATTCATAATATATTAATTACTCTTGTGTTTGTAGTTACTTTGATATTTATTTTTAATTTATATTTAATATATAATTTTTTATTATTTGTTTTGTTTTGTTTTTGGTGACAGGGGTTCTCTGTGTCACACTGGAACTCATTGTGTTGACCAGGTAGCCTTGAACTCAGAGATCACCCTCCTCTGTGTCATTCACTCTGGGATTAAAGGCTTGCATCTTCATGTCTGATTTTATTTTTTTTAGACAGGAACATGTGTGTACCAACAGTCTGTTCCAGAAATCAACTTACAGCTGAGGGTAATCCCGAACCTTGATACTCCAAACTCCTCTCTTCCCTGTCCCTTACTTGTTTTTACCTTTGCAGTCCTACTGTATCTATTACTCCACTTGCACATCACATGCCTGCTACTGAGCCTGTACCACCTCCACCTGCCCAGAGATCTCAAGGAACCTTTCTTCTCCGTGCTCTCTATGGACACTCAGTCCAGTTCTGAAAGAGATGGGTAAGAGGTTAAAGGCAGAATCCACATATAAGAGAGAACAGACAGCAGTTGACTTTGGGCACTTCGGTTAGCTCATTTACTATATTATATTTCAAGTTGCATCCATTCACTTGCAAATTTCATTTTAGTTTTCTTCATTGCAGAGTCAAATTCCGATGTGTTTATGTGCTACATTTTTATTATGCAGCATCAGCAGATGGACCTCCAGGCTGATTCTTCCTTTAGTTATTGGAAGTAGATCAACAGTGACCATGTGTGTCTGTGTATCTGTGGTAGATGTTTGGACTCTTCATTATATGTGGAGAGATGTATAGTTTGTTGAGATGGTAATTCTGTATTTTACTTTTGAGGCAAACTCACAGTGATTTGCTTGTTAATTATAGCAGTTTAAACTCCCACCAACACTAAGTATTCACTTTTTCCTCATCCTCAAGAGGGTTTGAGGTCCTCAGGTTGGTGATTGGTTTTTGACAAAACTGATTAGATTGAGGCCATACATGTGACAATGGAGAGGAGGTAGAAAGTAGTAATGGGAATTTTTAGTAATGAGAGAGGAAAATTTATTTACTTCCCTTACCTACCTACAGTACTTAATTGGTTGTTGGGTCTGGGTGGGGTATTCCTGAAGGGACTCTAGCTGGCCCAATAATGGCAAACATGGCTCTGGGAGGCCTTGCCCTTCTCCCCCATTCCCTCTGCCTTGCTAAAACCCAGTAAATTACATTACTAAAGCTAAACACCAAGGTCTGTTCCCTTATTTGGCCGCTTCCTCCTCCTGAGGCCAACTACCAAGGTCCACCTATCAAATTATTGAAGTTCCAAAATCAAAAGACCCCTTTGGTTCACCTAATTAACACGCCCAATCAGAACATACCACTACATCCTAGCCCGTTCTAACACAGACCTCCCTTTTTTCTCTTCTTTTTTTTTTGGTTTTTCGAGACAGGGTTTCTCTGTGTAGCTTTGCGCCTTTCCTGGAACTCGCTTTGTAGACCAGGCTGGCCTCGAACTCACAGAGATTCGCCTGGCTCTGCCTCCCAAGTGCTGGGATTAAAGGCGTGCGCCACCACCGCCCGGCTCCTTTTTTCTCTTCTTAAAAATTACACCTGCAAGGTCATTTGCTGCTGTTTTTTGTTCTGCCTGAGTCAGAAAGCAGCTACTTTAACTTTTCTTCCTCACTTAATGAAGAATCTTTCTATGAAAACAGGTGTTTGGGTATGATTTATGCATAATCTGGGGTCTGGGAGGGTGTCCCCACTGTGCAGGGGGGCTCTCCTTCAATTCCCATTTAGAGGGTAACTTTATTCAAAGCAAAGGCATAGTAGAAGTCAGAAATAATGCAGTGAAAGATGTCAGCAGACTACATGACTAAGAGCATCTATTATCTGGTGGGGGCTTTGAAAGAGAATTTGTTTTTTTTTTGTTTTGTTTTGTTTTTGTTTTTCGAGACAGGGTTTCTCTGTGTAGCTTTGCACCTTTCCTGGAACTCACTTGGTAGCCCAGGCTGGCCTTGAACTCACAGAGATCCGCCTAGCTCTGCCTCCAGAGTGTGGGATTAAAGGCGTGTGCCACCACCGCCTGGCAAGAATTTGGTTGTTAAAGTACATAAATAACATCCTTGTGGGTTCCTGGGGTTTTCCTGGCAACAGGTTTCTCCATAACCCCCAAATGCCCCCCCATCAAGACATCTCTTTAGTTACTCTCCTCCTCCATGTCCCCCGCAACCTCCCTCCCACACTTAGCCTGCCTAACCTGCTCCCTCAAGTTCCCATCCCTCCATTCCCCCCTTTCCCACCCCCAGTTTACTCAGGAGATCTTTTCTTTTTCCCCTTCCCAGGGAAATCCATGCATCTTTTTTTGGGCCCTCCTTGTTATCTAAACTCTCTGGGGCTGTGGATTGGAGGTTGGTTATCCTATACTTTACTCCTAATACTCACTTATGAGTGAGTACAGACCATGTTTGTCTTTCCGGGTCTGGGTTACTTCTGAATGATTTTTTTCTAGTTCCATCCAATTGTCTGCAAATTTCATGAGGTCATTGTTTTTTATAGCTGAGTAGTACTCCATTGTGTACCACATTTTCCCTATCCATTCTTCAGTTGAGGGTCATCTAGGTTGTTTCCAGGTTCTGACTATTATGAATAATGGGGCTATGAACACAGTTGAGCAAATGTCCTTGTGGTATGATGGCACATCCTTTGGGTATATGCTCAAGATTGGTATAGCTGGGTCTTGAGGTAGATTAATTCCCAATTTTCTGAGAAACTGCCATATTGGTTTCCCAAGTGGCTGTATAAGTTTATCCTCCTGCCAACAGTGGAGGAGTGTTCCCCTTACTGCACATCCTCTCCAACATAAGCTGTCTTCAGTGTTTTTTATCTTAGCCATTTTGACAGGTATAAGATAGCATCTCAGAGTCTTTTTGTTTTGATTTTCCCTGATGACTAAGGATGTTGAGCAATTCCTTAAATGTCTTGTGGCCATTTGAGATTCTTCTGTTGAGAATTCTATGTTTAGATCTGTACCCCATTTTTAAATTTGATTATTTGGTATTTTGATGTCTGGTTTCTTGGGTTTTTTTGTTGTTGTTTTGTTTTTGTTTTTTTACAATGATAACCCCAGCTAAGATTCCTAGCAATAGTGGAGAGGGTGCCTGAACTGGCCATCTACTGGAATCAGATTGGTGAGTGCCCTAATTGTCATCAGAAATACTTTATCCAGTAACTGATCAAAACAGATGCAGAAACCCACAGCCAAGCACTGGACTAGCTCTGGGAGTCTTGCTGAAGAAAGGAAGGAGGGATTGTATGAGCCAGGGGCATCATAACAGGGAAATCCACAGAGAGAGTTGACCTGAGCTCATGGCAGCTCATGGACTCTGGACTAACAATTAGGTAGCTTCCAATGGACAGATCCAGGCCCTCTGAATGTGTGTGACAGTTGTGTAGCTTGATCTCTTTGTAAGGCTCATAGCTGTGATATAAGGATCTGTCCCTGGTGCTTAGTTGGCTTTTGGGAACCTGTTCCTCATGCTGGATTACTTTGCCCAGCTTTGACACAAGGGAAGGAGCTTGGTCCTTCTCAACTTGATATACCATGCTTTGTTCAAGCCCATGGGAGGCCTGCTTCTTTCTTAATGGAGGTGGAGGAGGGGTGGGAGGGGATGAGATAGATGGGAAGTGGGGTGGACCAGGAGAAAGGAGAGACAGGAAGCTGTGGTCAGTATGTAAAATAAGTGAAAAAAAATATTTTAAATAAAATATTTTTAAAAAGTATATAACATACACAGAGATCAATGTTTTTACTCATAGGATTACATTTCATAATCCTAGCTGCTGTGGGATATCTTTCTGTACGCTGTGAATATGTGTTGCTGTGATTGGTTAATAAAGAAGCTGCTCTGGCCTATGGTGAGTCAGGTTATATCCAGGCAGGAATCCGAGAAAGAGACAGGGAGAAGAAAGGAGAGAAGAGAGAGGGGCCAGCTGCCACCAACGGAGAAGCAAGATGCCAGCAGACTGGTAATGCCACAGCCATGTGGCAAAACATAGATTAATAGAAATGGGTTAATTTAAGATGAAAGAGCTAGCTAGCAAGAAGCCTGCCATAGGCCATACAGTCTGTGAGTAATATTAAGCCTCTGAGTGATTATTTTATAATTGGCTAGGGAACCACAGGGCCAGGCAGGACTGGAGAAACCTTCTGGTTACACCTAGCTAACTGCATATGATATTCTCCTTTGTACTGGTTTTTAAAATGTACAGGCCCAATTACTTGAATGATGAAATTGTAACAACAGACAAATAAATAAAGATTATTCTAGAACATTTATTTTGAGAACAGTTTGCCTTATTGCACATGCACCTCATACTTCTTCATTGTGAATCAGCTTGTGTCCAGTGTTTTCCAACAGGAAATACAAGAAGTAGTTATGAAGGCATTAATAAAGGAACTGCTTATTGCTATTTTTAAAGCATATATAGATACAGCCCACTAATAATGATTATTCAAAGAAGGCTACCCACAGATTGATAGATGTTGGAGACTGACTCAGGACTGTTTGACCCAGGACTGTTATGTCTTGAGTTTTCTGCTTCGTGGAGTCTTGCATAAACAGGGCGTCCTTGGCCTAACTGCAAAATGTACGTTTAGATAAACCACTTGGCATAAACTGTAATCAGCCAGCTGCAGAAGCCTGGGACCAAAGAAACACCCACCCTGACCACCCTGACTTCTTCTCAAAAATTTTCCACTCTCCTTTCCCTGTTCCCCCTCCCTGCCTGAAATCCTGCTTATAAGCTGCAACATACTGCCAATAAACGAGACCTTGACACGACTCAGACTGACTCTGTCTTTCCTTATGTGCCTGGTCTCCTTCTTCTCTCGCCCCCATTGGCTTTCAGGTGGTTCCCTCCTCGAGACCCTCGAATAACCTGACCTGCTGGACGGGTCAGATAGATTTATTGTTCAGAGTGCTGTGTGCAGATCCCAAGTCAATTAGAGTCCCAGGTGCTGTGGGATGGTCTTTCTGTATGCTGTGAATGTATGTTGCTATCATTCATTAATAAAGAAGCTGCTTTGGCCTATGGTAAGAAAGGTTATGGCCAGGCAGGAAATCCAAGAGAGATACAGGAAGAAGAAAGGCAGAGTCCAGACAGATGTTTAGAGCTGCCAGGGTAACAAGATGTAATGGAACACAGGTGAAGCCACAAGACATGTGGCAATACATAGCTTAATAGAAATGGGTTAATTTCAGATGAAAGAGCTAGTTAATAATAAGTTTGAGGCATAGACCAAGCAGTTTGTAATTAATATAAGCCTCTGTGTGTTTATTTGGCACTGAGTGGCTATAAGACACAAGAAAACCTCCAGCCACTCCCAGGCTGTTGAGTTTCCCCCATGTTACCTGCTTCACTATTGTCCCAGTGCGTAGTACTAACTTGTTACTAATTCCAACTGCTCCCTTTGTTTAAAAATTTAGCTTGCTGACGTTCCTTTCCTCTACCAAAGTACTCCACAATTTACATTCAAGTTCATTTCAAGTTTTCTGATATAGGTCAGAATGAAGTTGTATTCTTGAGTCTAATTGCACAGGAATGGCCCTTACTCTAGTTCCTGATAGAGTCCTTGTTCCCCCATGGAACCTTTCTGATCTATGCCTCCTCTGTAGGCATTTCTTTCAGCATTTTTGTTTGTGATGCATACTAGAATGAGTCTTTCAGCTTTGTTCAGTGTGTTTATTTTGACATGACAACAATTGCTGCTTGACAATGTTCTAGCATTTTGACTTTGTGGATCATAATTCTCCAGCACCCCTTTACTTTCATTTTTAATGATTCTCACTATTATGCCTTTCCCTTTGGGAAATTTTGTGCAGGCTTTGGTGAAGGATGAAATTGTGTACAGTGGTACTTTCTTTAAACCAAATAATTCTTTGAAAAAAAATCCCCTCTGCCATGAAATCATATAGCCTGATAACTCCACCTACTACTATACAAGTTACCACCAAGCTGCTAGAAAATAACATATGCTTGATATGGTATATTTGATAATCAACATTTGTAGATTCCTAAGGTCTTCTCAGGTTCACAGTAATGTTTGTCTAGCTTCATCTTTGCTCACTTTAAGCTTTAGCTATATAGATAAACTAAGCCATATAAAAATTAAAATATTGTGTAATGGAGTATCTGATCCCCCTAGAAAATCCCTTTTCCAAGGCCAGGCATTTAGACAAAAGTCCCCATTCCCGCCGGGCGGTGGTGGCGCACGCCTTTAATCCCAGCACTCGGGAGGCAGAGCCAGGCGGATCTCTGTGAGTTCAAGGCCAGCCTGGTCTCCAAAGCGAGTTCCAGGAAAGGCGCAAAGCTACACAGAGAAACCCTGTCTCGAAAAACCAAAAAAAAAAAGTCCCCATTCCCTCAGGAGCTTGAGTAAATTCCTGCGTACTAAAAAGGGAGTCATTATCTCTAGCAAGAGGAACTTGTGGCCCTACCATTAATAATGACTGGTGTCTATTAACTTGTCAAGGTCAATGCTAGCTTCCTCAACCCCTGATCTCAAGCCACACCTGAGCTCATGTGCCTTCTTTCTTTCATTTAATCCTTTGTGCTACATGTATTCTTTTTTCAATAAATGGGCAGCCATCCTGATTCACCCTCAGATCATGCCAGTCTCCTTCTCTGCCACACCCCTCAACCCAAACAACTCCAAACCTCTTCTGTGGAACATGAACCCCACTAGATCTGGTCTCAGGCAAATTTTCATGTCAAAGAAAAATTTCTTGCGAATTCTTGCACATTCCTTCCAAAACAAGTTAAAAATGCCCAAGGAGAACCTGTTTAGGTTTACTTATACCAGTGTTTTCACTTTTTCATATCTAATTCTTATATTAGGTTTTTTATCTGGCTATCATTAATATGAGAAAAGTGACTTAAGGTAGAAAGAGTTTTTTTCAATCTCACAATTGAAGGGTATAGTCCTCAAAATGGAACTGGTCAAATCACACACAATCAGGGATAGATTGTAAGTGGAGTTTCTTCCTCTGTCCCACCCTATTTCATAGCTGCTTCCAAAGGCTTATATTAAGTATAAAAACTTGGTCAGTAGCTCAGGCTTATTACTAACCCTTAAATTAATGAATCATGATCCTAATTAGTTTTAACAATAAACATCCAGAATCAGAAACAGAGGGTGAAAACTGAAAGATTAGAGAATAAAGAAGCACCCACTAGACTTTGTACCTCTGTGAAATTTCAGACTGAATAGGGCATCCTGTCTCTATGAATCCTCAGACTGAATGGGGCCTGAGATCCTATTTCTACCTGCCTTATATTTTTGTCTCCACTTCCATAGTCCTGGGATTAAAGGTGTGAGACTCCCTGTGCTGGGATTAAAGGCTTGAGCCACCACTACCTGACACTGTTTCTCTTTAAGACTGGTTCAATCTTGTGTAGCCCAGGGTGGCTTTGAACCACTGATCTTCCTGCTTCCTCCTCCCAAGTGATGGGATTAAAGGTGTGTGCCACCACTGCCTGACCTCTACAGTTAGCTAGTGACTAGCTCTGTCCTCTGATCTCCAGACAAGCTTTATTTGTCAGAACACAAACTAAATACCATACAGCATTTACCCATATTTCTCATCTATGCTTTGCCACGTGGTTTGTGGCTTGTTACTTTATTTTCTTCACATCTTGCTTCCTGAGTAGCTGGCTGGATGGTGTCTGCCCTGACACCGCCCTTCTTTATCTCTAGCGTCAGTTTGATTGTACCACTTAACCTTATCTTGCCTCGCCATTGGCCAAACATCTTTATTATCAACCAATGAGAGCAACACATATTCACAGCATACAGAAGGACATCTCACAGTATTTCCCCCTTTCTGTCTAATCAAAAAGGAAGGTTTTAACTTTAACATAGTGAAATAACATATAACAAAACAGTTATCAAGCAAGAATTACAGTTACAATATTTAGTCTATTTGTATTTGACAAAATTAGAGAAAACATTCAATTATCTATTTTATCTCGGTGAGTCTAAAGTTTCATATCTAATTTATCTTTTATCTTTTAAAGAAAACTATAATTATAACTATCTAGTCTTCAACTCCACCAAAGACCCCAGAAGGATATAATATTACCTGAGTAAACAGGAAGGGCATTGGAAGCAACTTCCAAAACTCTAGAAATGACAGAGACATCTAGCTACCTGGGCAGTTATCTAAAGTTCTTCTGTAACATTGAGGCATCCATCTTTAGCCTATAAGCCTAGAGTAGTTGCAGACTTTTTCCGAAGCAGGAGATTTGAAGGACTGTCCTGCCTATATTGGCAAAGTTCATCAGTCACTTTTCTCTGTGTCCTGGAAAATGTCTGGCAGTTGTTTCTGACCATCCCACCTTGTTTTGGCAAAGTTTAGAGGTCACTTTCCTGTGGGTCCTGCATATCCAGTTTATACAGGATACTGTCAAGCAGTCCAGGCAAGAGCAGTTTTTTCCTAAATGTCTAGCCTTTCCACATTGAAAGAAAACTCCATAAGGAGTTTCTTCAAAGCCCATCATCTCTGAAGTAAATTGGTGCTGCCAGGAGCAGATGTGTCTCATTGTCATGAAAACCCTTAGGTTAACAAAACATTTTAAATGCTTATTTTATAGGTCTTTGAAATATTTGAAGATTACCTATCTAATTGAAATACATTTTTGTATACCTAGAAAGTATAAATAATATGATTATAAATGTGACTATTATAGGTGACTATTTATTAATCTGTATTTTTAATTATACATTTTAAAATGAGCTCCATAAACATAATACCTTAAACAAGAGTAGAAATATATATACAGTATAACAAAATTGACTTTAAATTTGTATCATTAAACTAAAATCCATACCAATGTAAAATATTTTGAGATTAACAGCTGTTTTTTTGGATTAAAGTAGATTCAATAATTCATCAGAATAATCTACCCTTTCCCCCATCATTTCTATACCATATCCCTTTTTCTTCTTAGAAAGAGATTGACTATGACCATTAACAATTTATAATCAACCACCCTTAAATGAAAACAAACATTCATAAACAATATTTTGGGAATTTAGGTGTAGTTCTGTAGGCTACTTCCTGTTGATTTGTGGCTCTGGTAATCTTATGGAGACCCTGAGAAAATTGAGAATTATGGTCAAGTCCTGACTCAAGTATTTGTGCAACTGGTCCATCTCAGCCAGCAGTCTTGAAACTGTTTAGATGCAGAACTCCCAACTCCAATATGGAGTTAAAGTCATGTACTACCATAACCTATGGTCATTTTTTTTTTTTTTGATTAATGATTGGATGTAAGTAGGCCCAGTTCATTAGGGACACTGCCACCCCAGGGCAGATGGTCCTCCATGGTATAAAGTAGCAGGCTGAGCTATCTATGAGGAACAAGCCACTAATTAATATTTTCCATGTCTTCTGCTATCCTGAAGTTCCGTTTTCTCCTTTGAGGCAAGATATTGGAATGTATAGAGCAAAGTTAATGCATTATCTTTATGGAAAAGGCAGGTATACTGTGTATGTGAGGCAGTGAGTGAGTGCATCCCAAATCCCAGAGCATGTTTTCTTACAATGCAGTGAAATGCCAAAACGGAACAGGTTCATTCCAGAGAGTACGGATATGTTAGAGTTTTTGTTTTTAAATGTGTTGTTGTTGTTTATTTTGCTTCCTTGTTTGTTTGTTTTGGTTTTTCGAAACAGGGTTTCTTTGGGTACTATTATCTGCCCTGGAGCTAATTCTCTGGCCCAGACTAGCTTCCACCTAGTGATCACGATTAAAAATGCCTGCCACCATGCCGGGCTTCTTGGTTTCGTTTTGGGTCAGGGTGTCACCGTGTAGCCCTGAATGTCTTTCACTGAAGTTCGCCTTCTAGAGTGTGGGCAGTCAGGGGTTGCACCTGAACTTTCCTAAAATGTTTTGATATTTATCGCTGAGTCAGTAGAGTTCTCCAATCAGGGACCATAGTACTAAAAGGAATGAATTGGCCAATCGGGAGCACGGATAGTCGCAGCAAGCCGGGGAAGGGTGGGGGAAGTCTTTTTCACGCTTTGCTTAGTATGGCGGGATTCCTGTGAGGACCTGGTTTGGGAGACTTTGTGTTCTGCTGACTGCAGGCATCACTGGGTGGAAACCCAAACACATCAGAAGCCAGGAATGGTGAGTGTGCCTTGGGCTCTTGGAGAGGGTTTGGGACGCTAGCTCCTTTGGAGTTAAATGCGGCGCCAGCTCCTGAAGTTTCCCCTGTTGCTATGCAGTACAGTGGAAGGCGGAGTCTCGCACAGCAATGCCTATGCCCACGTGCGCTTAAAGTGGAGTCCGCCACACTTATGTCCTAGTAAAGTAGCTTCCCCACAATCCCCAGCCCTTTTGAGTTAGTCCTTGCCATGAATACAGACCTAACCTCACTGGCGGGTTGGAGATGGTCAGTCCAGACGGCTGTGCAGGGATTTGGGTGTTCCGCACAGTTTACCTTTTCCTCTTGAACTTCTGCTGGCGCTGATTTTGGTGTTTTTGTTTGTTTGTTTTTCTTTTCCCCATTATCACCGCGGATTTAATTTCTGTCTTCTTCTGTCCCCTCCTTCATCTGGTCTTCTTCATTCTCTTCATCTTCAACTCCTTTGTGAGAAGTTTCCCACAGAGCTGTGTCTCTACCCCTTAACACCTCATCCAGTATGGTTTTGCATTTTGTTTTCCTGTTGGTTTGTTTTTGCTTTAGTTGTTTTTTGTTGTTGTTGTTTGTTTGTTTTAGATTTATTCATTTTATTTCGTGTGTGTTTTGCCTCCATATGTTTCTGTGTGTCATGTGCTTGCTTGGTGGTGCCTTTGGATCCCATGGAACTGGAGTTGCAGATGGTTGTGAACCACTTTGTGAGTTCTGGGAACTGAACCCAGGTCTTCTGCAAGAGCAACGAATGCTCTTAACTACTGAGCATCTCTCTAGCCCCCTTGTTTTGCTTACTTTTACAAAATGATAATGTGTGAGAATTTTTTCTTGTTCTAACTGCAGCTGGCCAAAATTACCAGTCCGAAGAAAGAGAGAAATTTCAATTTGCTTAACATTTTGTTTGTAGTTATTTTTTATTATTCTTTAAAAAAAGGTTTCTTTTTTTAAAATGTATGAGTGCTTTATCTGCATGTACTTCTGTATGCAAGAGGACATCAGATCCTACTATAGATGGTTGTGAGTCACCATGTGGTTACTTGGAATTGAACTCAGGACCTCTGGAAGAGCAGCCAGTGCTCTTAACCACTGGGCCAGCCTCATTTTTTAAAGAATTCGTCTACAACATATCCTGATAATTGTTTCTCCTGGGTCTTCCCAGTTCCTTTCCCTTCCTCCCCCTTTCAGGTCACCCCCCTTTCTGCCTCTCTTTAGAGAAGAGCAAGCTTCAGTCATACAGCAACCAAACGTGATGAGATACAGCAACCAAACGTGATGAGATAAAGCAGAAAACACCACATCAAGGCTGTTCAAGGCATTCTCACAAGAGAAAAGGAGCCCCGAGAGCAGGCACAACAGTCAGAGACCCGCTAGTTCACACACTCAGGAGTCCCATGAAAGTACTAAATCAAAAGCTGTAATACATAGCCAGAGGACCGGGTCCAGATTCTGTGAGTTCATGTGAAGCTTGCTTAGTTGATTCAGAGGGTCTTGTTCTCCTGGTGCATTCCATCCCCTCTGGCTCTTCCACTCTTTCCACCGCCTCTACCTTGAGGTTCTCTGAGCACTGAGGGGAGGGATTTGATGGCGATCTCCCAATTAGACTTTCCAGGTAATATCTGGCTGTGGGTCTCTGCATCTGTTCCCATCTGCTGTAAGAGGAAGCTTCTCTGATGATGACTGAGTAAGTCACTGATCTATGAGTTTAGCAGATCATTAGCAGTCATTTTATGGATACTTTTCTTTTTTGACCAGTAGTATTTGCTTTTTACCCTAGGCTTCTGTGCTGTCTAGTCTCTGGTTCTTGATTACCCGAACAGTGTCTGGTGTGGGTTCTGTCTTGTGAAGTGGGCCTTACGTCAAATCAGACATCCATTGCTTACTCCCACAAGCTTTGTGCCACGATTGCCCTAGTGTATTTTGTAGTCAGGACAAATTGTAGGTCAAAGGGTTTGTGACTGGGTGTTTACATTTCTCTTTTGGTTGCCTGCAGAGTACCTCCCGTGCCTAGGACACTAGAATGTTGGGCTCCATGTAGGTACCAGCTCCATTTTTCCATGTTCAATGAGTTGTATGGGTATTGTTCTCAGCAATGGGGCCCCACTGTCAGATTGGGGAGAGCAACCCATTGTCTTAGCAATAGCCTGGGTTGTTTAGGGGGGTTGTCAATTGAATGCAACCTAGTTCCCCTAATGGAAGCCTCCTTTGGTGACAAAGAGATGGCCAGTTGAGACTCCTTATCCCTCATTATTAGGAGACCTCATTAGGCTAACTTTCATATATTTTAGGAAGTTTCCACTGAACTAGGTTTCCTATCATCCCACAAGTGCCCCTCTTTTCCTGCTGTCTCTTCCTGAATATTCCCCTTTAGCCCTGTCCATGCTCACCTTCCCCACCTGATCCTCTTGTTCCATTCCCTACCTGCCCCAGTCCACCTGTAAAATCTATTCTATTTCCCCTATTCTAAGGTCCCCCTACGACCCCGCCCCCATTACCTATCCTTTCTGGCTGTATGACTTTTAGCTTCGTTATCATTTACTTATCTGCTAATTACCACATATAAATTAATTCGTACCATATTTATCTTTCTGGTTCTTGCTTACCTCACTCAGGATGATTTTTTTCCCTCTAGTTCCATCCATTTTCCTGCAAATTTCATGATGTCTTTTTTTTAATAGATGAGTAATATCTCATTGTGTAACTATACCGCATTTTTTTTCTTTATTTTTCTGTTGAAGGACATCTAGGCTGTTTCCAGTTTCTGGCTATTATGAATAGAGCAACAATGAATAGGTTGAGCAGGGGTCCTTGTAGGATTGAGTGTCCTTTGGGTTTATGCCCAAGAGTGGTATAGTTGGATCTTGAGGTAGATCAAATCCCAACTTTCTATGGAACTGCCACATTGATTTCTATAGTGGCTTTACAAGTTTTCACTCCCTCCAGCAGTGGATGAGTGTTCCCCTTATTCCACATCCTTGCCAATCTGAGCTGCCACATACAACTTCCTGCATTGTTTTTGTTTTTGCTGCTATTATTATCTCTTGGTAATTACACTTATGTGAAAAGGCATTTTCTGAGTGACATTTATGTAGACTTTTTTTCAAAGATATTTAGCCATGTGTGTGTGTGTGTGTGTGTGTGTGTGTGTGTGTGTGTGTGTGTGTGTGTATGCTTTCCCATGCATACAATAAAGACTTGGGAGCCAGTACTGGTGTAAAAACTTGCTAGCTCAGAGATGCAGAGGAAGCAGCTGGGTGACCTTCCTCTGTCTGAAATAAAACTCCTCCACCTGTATGTCCCTCCCTTCTACTTCTTCTGCCTGTCTTTCTCCACCTTCCCGGCTTCCCCTCATACTATACTCTGTGGTTATTTTCAGTCAACTGGTTGCTTGCTCTACCTCTCAATCTATGGTTGATTTTATTTAATCTTGTTTACAGTATTGCAACAGAAAGCTCTTGGATTAAAGGTATGTGCTAAGGGCTGATCCACAGCTATGCTAAAAGCAGGTTCCTCCAGTAAACAATGTGATCTTGGGGTTCACAATGTGTTCAAATATTTCTGCAACATTGAACTCTAACATACTAAAACTGTTCACAGCAATGAAGCTATTTTTGCCAAGCTTTTCTGCAAGTCCAGCTTGGTTGTATTTGGCAGTTGTAGGCTTAAGTAGTTCCAAGTTCCAAGTTCTGTAAAATGTTCCGTCAGTTTCATTTCATTCAGTGATTTGAATGACCTGCACAGTTTGTCGTCTGAAGCTGATACTTGTGGGATGTTTCTCAGCTTAGTGTCATCACCACATCCAGGTGGGGTTGTCACTGCAGGCCCATCATCTTCCTCAGAGGTGTCCCATGTTTGCACAGAACCTGGCCGTAGAAGAGAGCTGGAGGTGGGGATGTCACTTTGCCAATTTACCCTTTTTCCTTGGACATTTTCTCTCTATGATCTGTCTTTGTTTTTCAGATGTCTCACTCATCCAGTGGTCTCTGGATTCCTTAATTGAATGCTTTCATTCTCCTGGAAAGACAAAAACAAAACCCTGCCCAACCCTAATTTTGGGGAGTTCCTTTCTTTGGCAGGTTATATTTTTGTTAAGGCAAAATGCCTTTTTGGCAACAGAAAATGTGTTATCTTTTAATTCAAAAAATTTTTTTGAAATTTTGAAACTAAATATACCTTTGTATGTGTCAATAAACATACCTATATTTCCCTTTATCCTTATATATATAAATTCAAGGTTTAAGTGTATTTATTTTTAGATCACAAAGGACAGTTATTTTGAATTTTGCCTGTCTTTCCAGTAGAGTTTTTTTTTTTTTAAATAATAATTTGTAAATATGGCATGTGGTTTTTCTAGGATGAAAACATGCCAATTAGGAGCTGTATCTGAATTTTGTCTCTGGGTGGTGGGATTAAAGGCATGCACCACCACAACCTTGTTCATTGTAACTAGAATTTAGAAAACAACTTATAGAGATCTACCTGTCTCTGCTGGGATTAAAGGGGTGGGCTACTACTACCTGCTCAAATATTTTATCTTAGATTCAAATCACTCCAGCTCTTGGAGATTTAGAAAACAAGCTTCAACTGTAGTATCCCTTTGAATTTACTTAAAACATTAAATCTCTTAACTGTGTTTAATATCAAACAACAAAAATGCCCTTATATAAGAAAAAACTCAGAAGCTTATGTCTAGGGTGGCGTGGGCCACATGGCAATCTATAGTTTAACATTCCATCATGGACTTAAGACACATGGTTCAAGAAATCTCTCCTGTTTGAATATAATCTTTATGACTCTCAATGGTATCCACAGCCTTTGTTCTCCTGTGGAAACAAAAGCAAAATCTCTTCCCTAATGTAACACTCATCCTGGTTTCCACTCTGAGGTCAACAGATCTTAAAAACATACAGGGAGATTTGATTCAGCAGTTTTTTTCTACTAGGCAGTGTCTCTTCACAGCTGTCATTCCTTTTTCATTAGCATTTAAAAAGCTTAA